CAAACGCACACACGCACACACACGCGCACACACACGCACGCACGCACGTACACACGCACACGCACGCACACACTAGTTCACAACTCCGGCGACAAGAAGCTTGATGCCATCACGGCGGTTGTGGAGACGCTGCCGCGAGTCAACTTCTTCACCCTCAAGTGCATCATTGATCATCTCAACAAGTAGGTGCACGTGACTGCTCAGGTACTTGTTGCTGCACGTGTAATGATCGCGTTCATTTCCGCTTACGAGCACACATGCACACGCAAGAACTCGCTCACATACTAACTCACTCACATACTAACTCACACACACACACACATGCACACACACACACACACCAACATCGCACACGCACACTGCAGGGTGACGGCACATGCGTCGTACAACAACGCGACACGAGACGTGCTGGTGGTGGAGATGACACCGTGCTTGATGCGCCTGCGCCACAACAAGGGCAACCAGGCCATGAAACCCGAGGAGGAGGTTGTCGATACGCTGCTTGCTCTCAAGCAGTCCCACTGGCGCCGAGCTGAAAAGACGGTGCTCGAGTGCCACGCGCGCAACCCTGGCGAGCGCGCCCCCGTGTCCTCCCACTCCTCGGTCAAGAGCTCCTCCTCATCTGGCTCCAGCGTCCGCTCTCCCTTCCGCAGCTGGTTCAGTCGCCGCTAAACGCAATGTGATTTGCTCAACTGCGTGGGAGTGACTGCTTGGCTGCGTGGGAGATTGAGTGACTGTGTGGCTGTCTGGTGGATTGCCTTGCATGGACGTCGCGTATTCGCAAAGCGCCGGCCGTGGTGCTTGATGATGGCGGCCTGTGCATGCGCTCTGCTGGTTTCGATGTACACCCCTTTGTTCGCTTTTACTTCTTCTTCTTCTTCTTCCTCTTCTTCCTCTTCTTCCTCTTCACTGCGCTGCTTCGCTTGCACAGGTTGCTGCCACCAGCTTTCCCTGCCCCGTTTGTTTGGTTGATCGTTATGGTTTCACTTATTCCTTGGTGACATTGTATGTGCGTGTGCGAGGCATGTGCAGTCGCAATCAGAAAGGCTTCTGGTCTCAGCAGGAACGCAGAATGCGTAACACGTGCATGGGCAAGAAGAGAGGAGGAAGAGGGGGGTTGTAGCAAAGGCAGTCTTAGCGGTACATGACACGCAGAAAGCCTGTATACCAATGGTAACAAACAAGCTGAGGGCGGGCGGGGTGGGCATGTACGGAAGTCAGGAACGTTCCAATATATATCCATCCAACCTTTTGTCGAATGGACACAGGTACACAGAGAGAGAGAGAGAGAGAGAGAGAGAGAGAGAGAGAGAGAGAGAGAGAGAGAGAGAGACAGAGAGAGACAGACACTCACTCATTTCCACACAATCATTTCCACACACACACACACACACACACAAACTCCCTCACTCACTCACTCACACGCACACACACACACACTCACACACACTCACACACACTCACACACACTCACACTCACACACACACACACACTTGCCCGTGCAGTGGCCGTGCCTGCAGGCAACCCATTATAATCAGCAGCAGTTAATGAGACTTCTTCAGGGACGGTGCGGTGATGGAGAGGGGCTCGTTGGTGTAGCCTGGTGGCAGTGGTGCAGGGACGTGGATTGTGATGGGTTTGGATCCTGGGCGTATCCACTGCCGTTGCTGTGACTGCGAGTGTGACCTGGATTGTGACTGGGAGCCGTGCTTCTTCCTTGATTGGTGTTGTTTATGATGCTGAGGCTGTTGCTGTTGTTGCTGTTGCTGCTGTTGCTGTTGTTGCTGTTGCTGTTGGTCGTGGTGAGTGCTGGATATGGAGGCAATGAAGGACGAGGAGGTGGTCATGGTGGTGGGGGATGCTGTGCGAAGGACGGCGGCGTGGGAGCCTTCCTCTGTGGACAGCTTCGGCGATGTCGTGCCCTTCATCTTGGTTGCGGAGAACAGCGGGCGCTCCTCAAAGGGGGAGCGCGCGGCAGATGCGGCACGGAACATGTGCTTTGTTTGATGCCGCACGTACATCTCCACGTGCATGCGGGGGTCCTCGTGGTGCTCAAATGGCAGCGGCGGCGGCGGCGGCGGTGGTGCGTTGTTTCTCGCCAGCATGCTGCGAGGCGACGTGCTCCTTGGGTAGCGCTGTTGGCGTGATTGCAGGTATGTCCGATCAGTGGCAGATGCCGTTGTTGTGGACATGGCATCGCTGAAGGCGTCCGCCTGCTGCGCGGCCTCTGCAAGCCTTGCCTCCACTCTCCGCACATGCTCTGTTGGCCTCGGCTCCACCATCGTTCCTCAGCAGCGCAAACCCTCTCACGTCTCTCTCAAACGACGTTGATGCTGACAAGACGAGAAGGGTGAATTCGTTTGCTTTGTGTGTGCTTTGCTTCGTGTGTTTGCTTTCTCCCCAACAACCAACCAAAAGACAACAACGGCAAACCCAACCAACCAACCAATCAACAAGCACACACGCAAGCACAGGCAGAGGAGGAGCATTCGCCACCTCTCACCCACCCCCAAGACGAACAAACAACAGACCAAAGCAGCCAGACCAGACGATCCAGCTACGAAGCAGCAAGAGCCTCTTCCTCTGACACATACACACGGAAGCACACACACACGAACACACACACGAGCACACCTGATTGTTTGTTTGCGCTATTGACCTGCAGATCTTCGCCTGCAGTGCCCTCGATCCCGTTGGCTTGAACATCAGCACACCAAACCAGCCAGCCAGCCACCTAACGTTTCGTCTTGACCCACCAACCAGCCAACCAACCAGCCAACCAACCACCTCGGCCACCTCGACCACCCAACAATCCAAACCTATCCCCTTGCTTGCAGCGACAGCCAACCGACGATAACGGCACCCACAGCCACCACTTGAGGGCGTCGTTGGGGTGTGTGGTTGGGAAGATTGGCCCTTCGTCTTCCTTCCACGTTCTCCTTTGCCCCACCACCAACACCACCTTGGCAGTCGTGGTCGCAGTCACACACCACTCTGCCTGACACACGATGCCCACATTTCGAAGAAGGAAGAAGCGGTTCACTCGCGTGGAACCCATGCAGCCGCAAGACGCACAGCATCAGCCAGACAACAGCCCACCAACCTCAAGCCAACAACCACATAAGCAACCCCTACACAGCCCAAACTCCACGACCACCACCACTTCCAACCCCAACAACAACAACAACAACAACAGCAAAGCCATTGTGTGCGGTGACGACGAAGACCGCCACGCCAGCAGCAACAGCAACACCAGCAGCGCGCGTGGCAGCAGGCGATCAAGCCACATTCAACCCACCACAACGGCAACTGAGACAGAGGGTGATGAGACAGAGACAAGCCCTTCCCCCTCCTTGCGCAGGCCTGCAGCACACACACGACACAGCACCGACGTGCCACGAAGCAGCGGTAGCAGCAAAGGAGACAGCGCACTCGGCCACGACGATCGCGCCACCTGGATGGCCCGCGTAAAGGAGGTTGGTGGCAGCAGCATCGAGGACAACGTGGACAACAATCACAACGGTGAGGACGATGCACATGGTGTCAGCAAAGTTGTCACAGAGGTTGTTGGCCAGGAACAGGGTGCCCGCCGCTTCATTCGTAGCAAAACCTTGCACGACCAAGTCGTGCGCCGTGTGCCGACCATGAGCGTTGGTGTTGATGGCGACGACAGTGTTGATGGCAACGACAGCGCCAATATGCTTGCCTGCAAGCACGAGGACGTCATCGCAGAGTCGACACTCGGCACCACAGCACCAGCTGATGCTTCCAGCGCAGCCACGCCCACGCCCAGCCATAACCACCAACCAACATCAACATCCTCCGACACCAACAACAACAGCCACGATCACCATCACACCAGCAGCCACAGTCACAGCGACACCAACACTGCCCCGTCCCCATCACGCCAAACATCCACTTCCACAGCAACAACAGCAACAACGGCAGCAGCAGCAGCAACAGCAACAGCTCTGGAGCAAGAGGAAGAAGAGGCGTCCATTATGCCGGGCCAAGTTGACACGCGCCCCATCACCCCGCAGCGCGTCACCCGCCGCTTTCGCCAGCTTAGCTTCGACCTCTCAACCACACACAACAACAACAACAACAACAACAACAACAACGATGACGGCGATGGTGATGGGGATGGGGATGGTGACCAGACGTCCCCGAAACGCAAGTCGCCCATCCGTCAGCTTTCAGATGGGGCGGCACGGCTGTGGTCTCCGTTCAAGCGGAAGCGACGAACCCAGTCCAAAGACAGTGACACTTCTGATGTTGTCAGCCCTATCAAAACACAGACGCGCCAGCCATCTTCTGGGACAGCGAGCGTACAGAGCCTGGGAGAGACCGGCAGTCCCAGGAACAGATCCCCGTCCCCACAACACAACGACAGCAAGACGGACCGCAAGCTGTTGCTTGCAGGCAGGACCCACCGCAGCCAGTTTGCAATGGAGGCCCTGAGGCGAACACCGACCATTTTCGAAGAAGATGAAGACGACGAGGACGAAGAGGAGGACAAGGTTAAAGAAACAGGCGCAACAGCACAGAGGAGAATAGATCAACTGTCTGGGTTCGGTCAAAACCACAGCACCCAACAAACCACATCTCCCCCGCCATTCCGCCGGCAGCCCGCAGAGCAGCACGATGACGTACCAGATGCAGGAGAAGGGAACCCGACACTGGGTGCTTCTCGCTCGTCATCCGCATCATCAGCATCATCCTCATCGTCGTCGTCATCAACGACATCAGATCAACCCAAGCAGAGAGACCGCAGCGACTCGCAGGTGCCGACGAAGACAAACCTCATGCACTGCAAGGACGCGCCCGTGTACATTGCGCTCGCATGCTGCTTCATCGATGACGCCATGCACGGAAGGTGTGTATGCATGTTTGCTTATGTATGTGTGTTTGTTTGTTTGTTTGTGTATGATCTGTGTATGATCTGTGTCTGTGTCTGTGTCTGTGTTTGTGTCTCTACTTGTGTCTATGTCTAACTGTCCGTTTGCTGTATGCTCGCCTCACTGTTTTCCCTCTCCTCCACATGAAAGGCTGGCCAACGGCAAGAACAAGATGTATTTTGAGAAGTGGCTGGTACAACGCATCTTTCTCGTTCACACATCTCAGGTATGTACGAACACGGCTCGTGTCTCCTTGTTTGGTGACTTGCTGGCATCAGCGCAACGTGTGCTGTGAGTTGCCGCGCCGACTTTAATGCATGCAAGCAAAGAACACGCTTGTTGAAACTTGTCTTCAACGCAACGCTGCTCACACGTGAATTCACAAACACGTGCGCACATGGCATTCCGCCGCAGTTGTGGCTGCACTTTGTGTACGCTGTGGCCATACTGCTTGCCACGCTGACGTTCTTTGAGCCGCCATCTGCGGACTCCTTCAAACCCTGGACCCTTGGCCTGGAGTTCTTCTGCATCATGGTTGGTTTGGGTGTGGGTGTGTTTGCATGCATGTGTTTGTTTGTTTGTGTTTGTGTGTATGTGTTTGTATGTACATGTGCATTGACGTTGGCTCAATTTACAACACGCGCACGTCACGCATACCACCCCTTCTCCCCGTTCTCACTGCTTCCTCACGCGACTGTCAGGTGTTCATCACGGATATTGGCATGAAGATGTACTACATGGGAGCAATGGCGTACTGGTCAAAGAACTGGCACAAGTGCGTTTCCCTTGCTGGTCCTGCTGTGCTTCGCATTGCGCTTGAATGACAAGGCTTAGTGTGCTTTCGACTGTTGTACGTACACGGCATATCATTCATTCATGCATGCTGTGCTATTCACGACACAACGTTCACAACCCCACACTCTTCCTTCCTGCCGCCCCCCTCTCCAACCCATGCCACAGAATGCAAATTGTGTTTGTGTGTCTGTTTCTTCTGGACGCGGTGATATTCTCCATCACCGGAAACACAATCCGCTTCAGCCGCTTTGTCCGGCCGGCTATCCTTCTTGGGCGCCACCGCGAACTCAGACACACCTATTTCATCATCAGCGCCATGCTCCCGCGCTTGGCCAAGGTGTTCACCATGATGTTTGCCTTCATCGGCCTCTTTGGCATCATTGGCATTCACATCTTCGCTGAAGAGTACACGGGCGTCTCCAACGACGAGGAAATCTCCCAGCTGGAGGTCTGTCCTGTGTATGTGTGTGTGTGTGTGTGTGTGTGTGTGTGTGTGTGTGTGTGTGTGTGCGTGCGTGCGTGAGTGTGTGTGTGGGGGGGGGGTGCGGGAGTGTGTGTATGTGTGTGTGTGTGTGTGTATGTGTGTGTGGAAATATGTGTCTGAGTGAGTGAGTAAGTTCGTGTGTGTGTATCTGTCTGTGTGCGTCTTGTGTCTTGGTGTTATGCACACGTGGGCAATGTGTGGGTCCTCTTCCTCTATCCCCTCTGCACACGGTTGCACTTGTCCTGCGTGCTTTTGCAACCTGCAATCAGCTTCCCCCCCCCCACACACACACACCCTTGTCGCTCTTCCCCGACCGTTACATCTTCAGGGCACCTTTGACAACTTCCTGCGGGCGTTTCTGCGGCTGTTTGTTCTCTTCACAACGGAGAATTACCCGTATGTGGTTGTGCCCGCATATCAGAGGGACTCCGCCACGTTCATCTTCTTCTTTGCGTTTGTGTACGCGGGCGTCTTCTTCCTCACGGCCATGCTGCTCGGTTTGGTGAGTGAATGTGTGTGTGTGTGTGTGTCTGTGTGTGTCTGTGTGTGTCTGTGTGTGTCTGTGCGTGTGTTCGTTTATGCAGTCCTCATTGCCGTGTGCTCCCTACGCGCTGTTGCTGCTGGCAGTATTCCCTGTGGGTGCGCGTTCGTGTGCGTGTAGCAACACTCCAGCTCCATGTGCCCATGCCTTGTTTGAAATACACACCACCTTCATCCCTCTCACCACCAAGAGCGGCTGCTGTCCTGCTGTCTTTGCTTGTGCGAGCAGGTTGTGAGCACGTACTTTGACTACACAGCCAAGCAGATCCACGCAGAGAGAAAGAAGGAGTGGCGTGGTCTCATGCGCGCGTTTGCTCTCCTTGACCCTGATGGTGAGTGACAACATGCGTGGCAACACCCTTCCACACGTCGCATGCTGTTCGTGCTTCAATGAGCGACCGAAAAAACACCCATTGACCATTGTGCGTGGGAGCTGTTGTTGCCTGTTTGCTATGAGACGTGCCTGAGCACGTGCACGCACATGTGAGTTTGTATCAGTGTACCTGAAGTCTTGCTACGCGTCTCACGCATGTTCGCGCCGTCTGTCATTGCACGCCTCACCACCACCACCACCACCCCGACAATGCATGATGATGATGACGATGGTAATTCCAATGTCGCCCGCCCCACGCTTACCAGGCAACGGATATGTGACGCTGTCGACGTGGTTTCTGCTCATGCGATATCTGCGGCCCGACATTGATCGAAAGCAGGCAAAGTTCTTCTTCGAACTCCTCGACCGCGACGGCAACAACAGAGTGAGCTGCAGTGACAGTCCTTGTGTGTATGTGTATGTGTGTATGTGTGTATGTGTGTGTGAATGTGTACGTACGTGTGTGTGTGTGCATGTGTGTGTGAATGCGTGTGTGTGTGTGCGTGTGTGTGTGTGTGTGCGTGTGTGTGTGTGCATGTGTGTGTGAATGCGTGTGTGTGTGTGTGTGTGTGTGTGTGTGTGTGTGTGTGTGTGTGTGTGTGTGTGTGTGTGTGTCGCTTTAGTCCAGAAAAGCACTCTGCCATCAAGCTGCTTGCTGTGATGTTGCCACGCGTCACACCGCAATTGCTTTCTGACTTCAACCTCCCAATACCCCAAACTCCCCATGATGTGCCGTACACCCGATAGCTCGACTGTTTCGACTTCCTTGACCTGCGAGAAATCATGCTGCTGAAGATCCGGCCGACGCCGGCAAGCGAACTCAACACCACAATGCAGCGGCGACAGTGGACGCGGTTTCGCATTCTCGCCTTTAACATCACAACGTCGAGTTGGTTCCATCCCGCCATCCTCGCTGCCCTGGCAATCAACGCCCTGGTTGCGTGTGTGTATCACGTGAGCATCACGCAGACAGAGCTTGCTGCCTTGCAGAGCGTTCACGTCGTCTTTGCTCTTGTCTTTGTCGCCGAAATCGTCCTCACGGTCCGTACTCAACCTGCTGCTGCTGCTGCTGCTGCTGCTGCTGCTGCTGCTGTTGCTGTATTGCTGTTGTGTGACATGACGCATGCGAGGGCGGTGAGAACCGCACACGCGTGCACCTGTTGTGCCAAAGTTTCTCGCCTTTCATCACATTCAACACACATTCACACACACACACACACGTTGTAGATTGTGTCGGAGGACTGGTACACGTATATTGCATCCAAGTGGAACGTTGCCGACTTGTTCATCATTCCCAGCGCACTGCTGTGCCACTGCCTGTCGTTTGTGAGCTTCGAATGGGGGCACTTCTTCACCCTCGCTGGCAACTGCTTGCTGTTTGTGCGGCTGCTGTGGGTGAGCCGAGACGCGCGCTTCGGGCTTGTTCTCATCTGGAACATCATCGAGGCTGTGCTCCACCTCTCCTACATCATGGCTGTCGTCATGTATCTGTTTGGCGTCGCGGGCACAGAACTCTTTCACGGATACACGCCTGGTGAGCCAACACCCAACATGCTCGTGGTGACGGGGAAGAAGCTGCATATGTGACTGACCGCAGTCATTGCTGTCGACCTGCCGGTTGCCTGCAAGCAAACATGACACATGTTTCTTCGTTTCATACGTCTCACACATGTGCACAACATCACATGACGCCGCCCTTTTTTTCTTTTGCACGCGGCGTTTTCACGCGCAGCCGACCCTACAACTGCGTACTATTTCGATTTCGGGTGTAACATGGGGTTTCGGTCCATGGGCTGTGCATGCTTCACCCTCTTCCAAGTCATGACCACCAGGTGCGTTTGCTCGTTTGCTTGTTTTCTCGTTGGCAAGTGTGCAGTAACCTGCAATGGAAGGTTTGCCCGTGCCTGCCACCCATCTACAATGAACATGATACCTGACACTGTGTTGTGCGTGTGCGTGTGTTTTGTTTGATGGTTCGCTTTCGCTTTGTGTTCAGCAACTGGCAAGAGCCCATGAACGACTTGATTGTAGAGGCCGGCTGGGGATCTGCCGTGTACTTTGTCCTCTTCTTCATCATGATCAACCTTGTGCTCACCGATTTGCTAGTCGTAAGTGCCACGACAACCACACACACACCCACACGTACACACACATGCACACGCACATGCATAAATGCACACACACACTCCCTCAACCCCCATGTGCTTGTCATCCATGTCACCGCATGTGTTCACGCCATCACCTACTTCACAATCATCAATGGTGCACAGGCTGTGACGATTGAGGCGTTCTTGCTGGCCAAGCGCCACTTCCAAGGCATCTCCGCAGACGCAATTCACACCGCATTTGTGGAGATCCCAGAGGATGATGATGATGAAGAGGAGGAGGAGGACTACATGGCTCCGGCTGATGATATGCGTGGTAGCAATGGGTACGACGGTGGACGAGGTGGCGGCAGCGGCGGTGATTTCTCATCCGGCATGGGAAGGAATGCACCACCCTCCGATCCACAGCCTCGTCGCGGCACTGTCGTTGAACAGGTTGGGCTTGCGCGCTGGCAGTGCACTCTCCACAACCAACGACGCCATATTTGATTTGTTTTTTGTTTGGGGGGGGTGTCTTGCTGCTCTACGCTGCCTTCTTAGCCCATGCGTCATGTGCACTTGCTCACCTATCCACTTGCGTCCACGTGTTTCAACCCGAATTATTTGATGTGGGTCACAGGGCAAGGCCGATGTTTCACGGGAAAAGTCGCCGGCTGTCCTTCGATTGGAGGCAGACGACCTCGTGCATCGCGCGCGCCGCCGCTCGTTTCAATCCATTTCGGTCCGTGGTTGTTTCGTTCTGAGGGAGCACGAAGGCGAAATGGCTTTTTTGCTGCATTGTTTGCTGGCGAGAGATGTGTGTGT